TTGGTGTATAGGTTCTTGTCAGTTGTCTTGCCTCAGTTTTATTACCATAAGAATTTGTTATTTTGAGGCAGAAAGAAAGGGCCATCATTGGCTCACTTATTGCATCATTACCCGTGCAGTATCTTGCCCTTTACTGTGTTCCTGACCTAAATTTAAGGTATTTCAGTGAGGTGACAAAAACTGAGGTTCAAAGTTTGCATCTACTGTTATCGAAGCAATTGGAGTATTCTCTGTTTGGATTTTGGCATCAGGGGGATTGTGAAAACCAATGGAAAATTTCCACTGGCTTCATGGCTAGCTCTATTTTCTAAATTAGAAGAAAGAAGCAGGTGAACGCCAAGGGCATCTGTCTTTTCCTCCAGTCTCTTTCACCTTTGCCCAGCGAAACTTTTGCTGGTTCTCAGGGGGCAGGGAAAGGTTTATTCTATTTCTATTTTTTTGTGGTTTTCTGACTTTCATGAAAATAGATCCAAGTATCTGCGCATTCTATTTTATAGGTCTTCCATACTCTCACAAATGACCTTTTTTTGCCCCGGATGAGTTATGCAATGCACATGGCTCTTTCCTCGTGCTACCACTAACATCCTGCCTCCACCTCCACCTAACCTTTCAGGCTCTATCCTTCAGAATGATCGGCTAAAAGTGACTTTGAGCTTGAGCTCTCATTCTCTGTTGTGATTTCCCTCAGAAGGGCATTGAAGCTGGGACTTGTTAGTGAGGAAATGGGCCAAGCATGGATTAGTGAGCTTTAGCTGTGGTTATGAAAATTGCAATTTAAAGGCAGTAAATAGTGGGTAAGCCTTGTTTTATCTAAGCACAATGACAAGCACATGGGAGAGTGTGTGTGTTGAGTCTGTCTGTGATTGTCTGATGTTGTTGGGTGGGGAGAGTGTGGCCCATCCCCATCTTCAAAAGTACAAACTCTCTTGTCTCACCAATTTATGGTTGGCAATGGACCTGGACCACTCCAAAATATATATATATATATATATATATATATCTCTCTCTCTCTCTCTCTCTCTCTCTCTCCACATCACCATTGAATTGGAGATTCAAAACATAAATTCTAGTTTATTCAAATTCACCATAGTGTATTGAGAGAGCTAGCTGTATAGTTTCCAAGGGAAAGTGGTCCTCCAGATGATCAATTTGAGACTATCTGTTATTGTCGGCAGCTCTTTCTTTGCCTTTCACTGTAGGCTGATTGAAACTTGGCATTAGCAGAAAGAGGAAAAAAATGCTTTCTTTTGCCTGCTTCTTTCTCTTTTGGCTGAATCTTTTAATGACTGTTAAGACCCTTTTCCGGATGAACGTAGCTTTTGATCTCGATTCCGAGAGTAATCTCAAAAGAAGAGTTTTCAGCGGTGTGTAGCTTGGATGATTGTACCATTTTGTAGGACAACATTCGGAACAGTGTCCCCCGCCGGTAAAATGTGAAAAGCGTCGGTCAATGTTAAAGCTTGTTGGTAATAAGATTTGGACCGGTAATTTGTTTAGTTGATAACATGTCGGTAAGTTACCAACAATTTTGGTGAAAGTACCAATAATGAACCAAATTTATTTATGTAGCTTGCTAATGTGTTAAAAGTTACTTTCATAGAATATTATCAACTCTTTGTTGGCCTACTTACCAACGTTTATATTATTGTTTTCAAAAATACCAATTGTCCTAATGATTTACCAACATATATTTGTTAAGTTATCAATGCGTTAAGTTGCTAACTCTTACAAGAAATCACTAGCCTTGATTTATATGATAGTTTCAAAATTACCAACGGTTCAAACAATTTACTTACATTTACTTGCAAATCTCACTAGAAAAAAGTGTCAGAAAAGTCCTACACTTATTGTAATGATGCCAATTTAGTCTTAAACCTATTTGCCTTGTGCCAATTCAGTCTTTCAGGTTAATTTTGGCCGGTTATTGTTGACGTAAATACCGGCCGACATACGTGGTACCGCTGGTGTTATGGACAATTTTTAATAACATTTTAATAATTTTTTCGTTTTAAATTATTTTTTCTAATTTTTTTCTTTCTTTTCTTCTTCATTTTGCCGGTGACTGGCCACCAACCATGGCTGGGCAAGGCCGTTGCACACCACAGGCGAGACCCGACCAGGGCGACCTCGCCAGGGTTTGCCCTCGCCTATTGATTACAAGAAAAGATAATGTTTGCATATTTTTTGGGAAATAAAAGTCAAATTTTTTTTTACAGCCGTTGATTTATAACCTATGACTTAAATGAATTTTTTAAATTTTTAATAAAAAAATATTAGGAAAAAAAAATAAATTTAGAAATCTGTGGTACCTGCTTGTGCATATGTTATAAATAAATCTTTACACATAATTGTTTATGCAATTGACAGTAATATGTGCAGTATAATTTTTTGTGATAAATGACTTTCAAATTGAAAACATAAATTTCTTACAATAAGTTCGATGATGCATTGACGAGAGAAGTTTCAACTCTAACGTTGAAAACTCATGGTTGTAAATTTTTATTACTTTGTGAGGTAATAATTGTAAAATTATCCGGAAGTTTTATGACCTAAAAATTGACGTTGGTGTCAATTATAGCATCAATAAAGTAATATGGATATTTTAGCAAATATGAAACATAAGAATTCGAACATATGTTTGAGAGTCACAACTCATATACATAGTGGCAAGTAAGTATAACTAAATGCCAATTAAGATAAATCACATCATTTTGTCATTAAGAGCAAATATATATTTAGAATAAAATATGAATTTATAAATTTTGAATTTCGTATGGATTGATTGAATTTTGAAGATGAATATTTCAATTGATTTTTCGATACACAAAAAGTTGTACTCCTCTATCCGTGCAACAAACATGCGTCTCTCCAGTATGATATTATTTTTCTCCGGCCCAAAAACAAGTATAAGAAGATCGATCCTCCATATAAATAGGGTAAATTGTCCAATCAGCCTAAACTTATTGTACATATGTCAATTCAATACTAAACTTTCCAAATTTGCCAAATTTTCAAACTTATTGTACAAGCAAAAATCAAGGGCTACATTGGAATTTCGCGCAAAAATTTAGGACTAATTGACAAAATTGGAAAGTTTAAAACTAAATTGGCATACGCACGATATATTTAAAAATGATTGGGTAATTTTCCCATATTAAATATCGAAGCAATTTATTTTTGTAAGAAATGAGAGCAAAACCCTAGAGTTGCACCATTACTTTCCTAATAAAACTTGATCCTGTAGTCTCCTATCAACAAAGAAAGTAAACCTCTTGTGGCCTATCTAATGCTAGAGTGTCATTTACATTATATGATTGAAGTAATCAATTTGCTAACCAATCTGCGAGATTCCTCCCCTAAAAGTAGGTACAATTTTGGAAAGTATCCATTACTTTCCTAATAAAACTTAATCATGTCTGATCTCTTATCAACAAGGAAGTAAACCTCTCGGTGCCTATCTAAATTGTAGAGTGTCATTCACATCATTTGATTGAAGTATCCAATTTACTAACCAACCTGTACATGAGTTTCTTTCCCTAAAAGTAGGTACAATTTTGGAAGTACTCTAACAATTTTCCAATATGAAAAAGGAGAATGTCGCCAAAATTGAGAGAGGGAGTTGATTTCTGAAGAAGGGAAATAGCCGCTCACAAGTCCACCTCCACAATAAGTTTACAATGTCCAATGAGATGACCATTTTGAGACCCAAAGTTCTACTTTGAGCGAAGACCACACTTCCACAGTTTGTACAAACCCACCAAACCAATTACCTGATTCATTATGAAGAAGATAACCTATTGAAGTTTGACCTGGGTTGCATTTAGAGGCCCCATCAGTATTGAGTTTGTCCCAACCAAAATGAGGGACGGTCCAACCCACAAACATATCCCATTCCTCCTTCCGAGAAGACAATATGTTCTCTCTCATACGAGCCGATAGGATGTCCTTAACATATCCCAAAATCAGGTCCACAGTGCGCTAAGAAGAGAAAAGTCCGTCTGAAATAATCTCTTGTTTCTCCAATTTCAAAAATGCCAACAAGTTGCACCAAAAACTAGTGGCCAGTTAGCTTTTTTTACCGTAGTTGTTGAAGTAGATAGTTTTGCCAACAACACTAGTGCAGATCATGGGCAAAGAATTCACCCCTTAAGCTTGTTGGCAAAATCTTTTGCCAAACAGCCTTTGCATACTCACAATTCCTAAGCACGTGTAAAATCGTTTTAGAGGATTGCGGACAATAAGTGCAAAATAAATCCGTAGTAATTTTACGTTGGAACCTTTCGTAATTAGTAAGTGGGCACTGGTGAAACCAGCCGGAAGAAACTTCTAATCCTTTGCTGTCCATCCCATTTCCACACAAAGTGCTTTCATGGATCGTCTCTCCAACCATAGGATAGACGAGTAGGTCCTTGGGTTCGACCTTCAATTAAGTGCATCTTTATTGTCTGTGTAGGGGTTGTTGACAGAAAGGTACGTGAATACACCACATGCTACTATAGCTTCCTTCTTTTGAGCAGCGACAGAGTCAAGCCCGTTAATGGCCGAAAAAGTGCACTGATTCTTTCTACCTTAACATAAAGGTCGAGCTAGTATGGCGTTCGAGTGAATTGGTAAAAAGAAACCGAGGGATATGGCGCGCAAGACCTCTCATCTCCGATACCATCTTAAACATACGGCTCGGGATGGTTAAGTCATCCGCAAAAGCAAGAATCTCCTAATCGGTTAGCTTGAAGATTAAAGAACGAACTTACGTGAGAATGAGAATGAGAATGAGCTGGGCCCGGTCTATCCTCGACTTGGCCTCTATCCTTTCAAATAAAGGAGATGCCACTGAAGCAACTGCTTTCCGACAACAAAACTGGATTGCAAGAGGATGATGGTAGACATGATCGTGAGCCCGACAGTTTGCTAAGAGGCCCGAAGTGGTGTGTGGTCGGTATGGCGAGCATCTCCTTCTTGGGCCTAGACCCCTCCATTAATAAAAGAAACAGACCAAACCATTAGAATAATAAGAATGATTTGCATTTTCTTTGCCATCTACATCAACAATCGGAGTCGCAGAATATGAGTCCAGAATCAGTGTGTGCTGCTGGTCAATGCTTAAAGTCATCATCCTCTTCAACTAATAATTGCGAAGAATGAACAGTTACAAGTTGATCATCTATACAACTCTTTTTTTTTCTGATCGCGCTGGATTGAATTGAATTCACAGAATGCTGCTTTAAGTAATCGAATGTCCTCGGCTGTGGGAATGGAGATCTTTGTGTCTCACATTCATTGCTCCGATTTCATGCGCCCTGTGGAAACGGAAAAAGTCTCAAGTTATTTTAGAAGAGAGATTCAAAATGCTCAAGAACGCCGAGAACTCTGAGCGAATTTGTCAGTTTCACTTTCATAATGTCCATACCTGAAATGGAATCGAAACCCATATCGTAAAGAGCTTGAAGCTCGCCGTCCAGTGGAGCCTAGACACGAGAAGGTCACAAATGTCAGTTCGTAAAAAAGCAAATAGGTGGGAGTAGATTTCGTGTGAAGATTCATTGCAGCTAAACCTGATTTATGGGAGGATACTGATCTGTGCTAGGTAAGATTGGCAACATCCCCTTAAGGACTCCTTGTGAATAAAGGTTAGGTAAGCCCATTCCAGGATTGAGCGCCAGATTTGTCAAACCACCACCTCGCGAATGAATAGTCTGGAAGCCATAAAATTAGAAGTTACTAACTCGCTAAGCAGTGTCTTATGGGCTTTTTTTCCGAACAATGTTAATCATCTTGTCAAGATCAAGTGTATTATTGCCCGCTTACTTCTTTAGATAGAGCTTTTTCTAAGTCGACGCTCAATCCAGGGATGAGAGTGGAAAGCTTCATTGACAAGAACTGCAATATACCAAAATAAAAATAAAGGAGAGACAAAAGGTAACAACGAGTCAACCCATCTAATTTACAGTCATTGTGCAGTTTGGTTGTTAACATCTGTTATGACTTCACAGGTTGCGGATCAGTAGAATTTATCCTTTCTCGCATCATCTTCTTATTTTGCTGGTGACCACAGCAACATGATTTTATTGTCATGTTTCGGAGAAAATAAGAACAAGGTGAATGACGAATCAGATTAAGTTTTCAAAATAGTAAAAAAAGCGTGCATACAACATGGACATGACGTAGTGCCTCAGTTGTTCAAAGACCTTAATGGCAACTCCTTAAAAACAATAACGTCGTCTCGCAGCACAAGGAACATATTCCACATGAAGCGTACCTCAACTTGCTGTTGCAGGGACTGCACATAGTTGATAATTTCGTCGAGCATCACTGCCTTCCCAGTAATCTGAGCAAAAAAATCACTAAAACAGTGACCATCCACCCAAAATCATAGGAATACATATCTCAGATGCTGGCCTACCATTAATTACCTTATTGCATCCTGGAACAAGCTCCTGAAGCAATCTCATCCTCTCACTGATTTTCTCTCTCCTAACCTGAAGCCGAAAAGAGTTTAAACTCTATAAGCATTAGTTCTAAAGGGCTAATTCAACTAGGGCAAATAGGAATTACTCTTTCTGCGAGGCTGTGACTGTTGGTAGCTTGGCCTCTTCGTGCTCGCACATGAATATAATTCTCCTTGGGAGCTTCCCCGCCATTAGAAGAATCATCTTTTGATTGGTTGGTATTATGGTTAGTAAAATCAGCACTTTCAGGCTGTTCAATCTTCTGTTTCTTCTCGTTTTGCAAACTCGGAACATCAGAATTGTCCCCCTCATTGTTCTATGACAAGCAAACATCGATTTTCTAATGACATTAATAATGCACATAACTAGAAAAGAAAATCAAAGTCATCATATTGTTGACATCGTTGCAGCATAAGTCGATTCACCTTATTTGAGCAAGACTGAGAATTTGGGTTGGGGCTTCGTTTTCTTCTCCTAACTTCGGCTGAAGATCCAACAGGTTCCTCTCCAGAATTTTGGCATTCACAAGATTGTGCACCTTTCTCCGAATTTCTCTCACAGCCACTGCTATTTATGTTGGAGGCACTATTTGGCAGAGACCCATGATTAGCTAGATGATTAAGTTCAGACATGCCAAAGGAGCCACCGACCATTTCAGAGACGCTGCCACTTCCAATGTACTGAAGCCTCGGATCAGACAGGCATTGAGCTAGTTGAGTAGAGCCGTTCCTCCCGAATCCTTGGTTATCCATTAAAACCGGATAAGAGGAAAAGTTGCTGTGGGAAACCAACGAAGAACTCCCATAGTTCTCATTATGACTTAATGAGGCCAGTGTATCCCAGCCGGAGGCAAAGAAAGGGTCAACCGAGATTGGAGGTCTCTGCAACGTGGGCATTGAGCTCATAGCAATCATAGGAACATCTTCAGATGGATTGGCAATCATGCCCGAGGATGGACAATTCGCTGCGCTATTGCCTCCATCATGAAACCCCATAACATCTCCACCACCCCCACCACTACTATTCATTTCAGAATGCAGAAACCAAAGTTTTGCACTCAAAGAATCGCCCTATCGCTATATGAGTTATAAAAGTATAATGTGTAAAGTGGGTTTGACCACAGTGAGCTGGTGATATATTGCAGGACTCAAGAAGAAGCTAGTGACTTTGGTGGCAGCTTTATGGAATCGAGAGAGGCAGCTAAAGAAGAAAACAGGAACCTCTCATTTCAGCATCTAATAAGGCAAAGTATGTGAACAAATCCGAGATATATCAGGCACAAAATCTACAAGAGCACCAGCTTCTCTTGCCTATTGTTCTAAGGAAGAACAAATCACGCTAAACAACCCCACCCGAAGAGAGATGGGGAAAAATTCTCCTTACAGACAAGAAAGTGAACCTTTCAGAGCATAAAGCAGAGGAAAACCAACAACGAATGACACATTGGTGAGAAACAGCTCATTTGTGACCGACCCAACAAATTGAAAGCAGATTCCTCCTCTTCTGCTTGGCAAAAGAACTGACAAATGCTTCAAAACTTACACGCGCATCATCGCTCCAAAATGAGAGAAATTAGACTGAAGGTTCGCTCAAGGATGCTTAAATAAGACCCAATTGCACAAAAATCAGTTCTAATTCGGAGCAACGACCAGAGAAAGAAGAATGATTAGGGCAGTTAATGCGCATTGACCATTCCAATTCCTGGAGCTAGACCCACGTGGTCCCTAACCAAGAAAAGAGAAGTTGCAGATACCCTTTTCAAGGTACTTTCAGAGGGTAATCAGGACGAGGCCAAGAAGACTATGTTCCGCTTGAATTCTGCAACCGCTGACATTGGCGAAGTGTTTCAGCTCAGTCATCCCCAAGAATGAGAGCGTCTGGTTGCACCCTTTGAGCCCTTGATGTTCTCGCCTTATACTACCCAAGAAAGACTGGCTTCTCAGAAGCAGAAAGACGTCGTCAAGTTTCAATCTTTGTGCTCATCAAAAGAAAATGTAGAGGGCTCAAAGCAGAGAGAGGGAGAGAGAGAGAGAGACTGAGGGAAGTGTGTGAATAAGTACACTCATTAGGAAAGAGGAGCTTTGCTTACCTTCTGAAGCTGGTCTTGTTAACTACATGACTTAAAAACAAAAAAAAATTAGACCGACTCCTGCCAAACAGCTCTCTGGTTCTTGAATTATTGCAGAAACCCCCTCTCTTTTTTTATCTTTTTTTTTTCGCCTCCTCACAAGCATCTACCCTCTGTAAGTTCTTTATCAATAGACATAGCTTACTACTTCTTTTCCTGTGCTTTTGAGTTTCTCTTTTAAAATTTGAGAGGAGACAAGGCTCATTAGAGGGGGGTCTCTTCTCTTTCGGGTTAATCCATGATGCTTGACACCTATCCTTTTGGATTTTTCACAACGGCTTGCGCCCAGATCTGTTGAACGACTGAGATCTATTACATTTTAGTACGACCGTGAAGGATTATACGCACTTAATGTCTACCCTCCTCGGTGTAATCCTTTCTCGGACTTTTGTTAACTCTTTTTGGTTACTGACACGCTTGCCAACTATTCCTACAGTGCTTTCTTTGCTGTTACACACGCATTTTTCTCAGAGCCAACTAAACCGGCCTCCATATTTTATTAGGGTTGAGAGAGTTTATGGTGTGGCTAAGATCCATCATAGTCTCCATAAGCATCATCATCATCATCATCCCATTTCATGGTTGCTGCTGACTCGGTAGGGAGAACTCATTCTTTAATTCTATGGGATCATGGATCTGCGATAAAAATACCCAATAATCCTTCATGGATAATTGTTTAGGTACAATTTATATTGGGTTTGTCTGATACGGACGTAGTTTTTTCCTTGGCAGATTGTTTTCAGATATACTGGTAGAAAAAAAAAACGAATTCAAGTGTTTGCGAATAGATAAATGTTTAAAGATGCAAATGAATTTAGAAAAAAAGAAAAAACTTGAATACGCGTAACACGCAAGAAATTCGAACTTGTCTTTAAAAAGTAAGATATTTACGCACGAGATAATTATTTTGACTACTTAGATTACATTTCCCCTCATCTTGTCGTACCTTAGATTCCTTGCGTACCTCCAGTTTGATATTGAAATCCTTGCCGAATTTGCATTTTATTTACTATGGTTCTGATTTGGCTGACCTATAAGTAAGATTCCTTGTGGTGCTAAGTGTTGCTAATGTTACTCCTAAATGAATTTTTCAATGGAAAAATGGCCGGAACCCTTTTATTTGATTTTTTTTTTTATTAGAGTGTTAATATTTTGGGGGAGCCATTTAGGATAGGCGAAAATGGAATAATGTAATGGGAATGTAATCAATGCAAATTTACCTCGTATAGTCCTGGTGCAGTTTCCAGCTGTTGAACTGCAACTTCTTTGTACTAACCTGAGCCAACTAATCCAATCCTGGTCAAAATCCAATAATCTGTCAAAGGTAATGTCCGGCTGTGACCTTGCTGGAAGCTGAGCTTTATTATTATTATTCCAATTTTTATGGAATTAAAATAAGGAGGGAGGTTATGTGTTTTTTAATGGGATAGCTTTTAGTCATCTCTCCGTGCAATATCCACTGCGGAACAGTTCAGTCTACCCCTCCAAGGCAGCCGCAGGATATATAGACCGAACCTAAAGAATAGACTTATCAAATTAGGATCCAATTATTTCGGGGAAAAAAAATAATATTTTTTGAAAAATATTTTTAACAAAGCCTGGCGATATTTTCGGTATGTGGCTGAAATTTGAATATGAACTAGAAATGATTTTTCTTAGTTTGTAAAAAAAAAACTTTATTTTATTTTCCTAAAGAAATGTACATTATTGTGAGATTTAAAGGATACTTAGCTGCCGAGAAACTTAGGCTTAGCTTTTGTGAACCTGGGCCCTTCTGCCGAGAAACCAAGGCCGGGAGCTAGTGACTTGGGTGTGAGAGCTAGGTACCTAAGCATGGCCTCGATGAACCTAGGCAAACGCATCGTGGTCTTGAGCCTGATTTGGGCATAGGAGCCAGGTACCCATGCAACCTGGTCACAAGCATTAGGGTCCCAAGTATGGCCCTTTGGACTTGAGCACGGGTATCGAGGTCCTGCTCCTACCTCTGTAGATCCGAGCTCGGGCACCGGTGACTTGAGCACCGGAGCAAGGTATCAAAGCACAGCCACCAGGGTCCTGGGCTCAGTTGCCATAGAATTGGGCCTGGCCTCAATGGACTTTGGCGCAAGAGTCGGGTAATGGGGCTTGAATGTCGGGGACAGGGGCACAGGCATCGGGGTCTTGGGCCTTGCCTCTATGGACCAGGGCCGCACCACGATGGACTCGGGCCTGACCTCTGCGACCCTGGGCCTAGCCTAAATAGACCGAGGCCTCGGCACTAATGACTTAGGCGTGGGAGCCTAGTATCTAGGCATGGTTGCCAGTGACCTGCGCACAACCTTTGTGGACCTAGGCTGAGCAGCGGCGACTTGGGCGTAGGAGCGAGGCACCTAAGCATAGTCGACGGCGACGGTAGAGGTGAGCGGTTCCAAGGTCGGTCAAGGTTCTATATGAAACCTACCCGTCAAAAAAAATTCCCAGAAGACTTCTGCCAAATTTTCCTTTGAATGTATACTCCCTTTAGAAACAAAGTACTTCAACTTCAGCTCTAGCTTTGGGGTCAAGTTTGTTGTTCCCGGTGTCTTCGCTGTGAATCGTGTCAATATATCCATTTAAGTGTCAACTTGTATGTAAATTTCAAGTTAGTTTAAATTCAAGTGAACTTTACTTCTAGTTTCTTCATTTTTTCTTTTTCTTTTTTTAATTTCAGTGTTCTTCATCCTAATACACTACCGAGAGAAAATTGCATCGAAAGTCCTAAATTTGGTGTACGGAAGAAACTAAGTCCTAAACCTTTCAATTGGTTATATAATACCTAAAATTCTTTGCGTATCACTTAAAAATTGCCTACTTGGCATCCTTAAATTACATATTCAATACAAGTTGTGACATCCCCAATTTGGGCAAAGACGACCAAAGGTAAATGGTAATGGAATGGGCGAGCGATTCGATTCGAGGGTTGGTAATGGAACAGATAACATGGTCAGAACGAATATGCTGAGGGTTAGTCATGGTTCGATCGAAAGATTGTCCATGGATTGGCCATAGGATCGACAATAAAATGACTCCCCGATCATGTAAGTCAATTAGAGTAATACGACTGTGGATTGACCATAAGGGCGGTTAGTGGGAAGGTCCGGGACGACCATGGATCAGTGCCATGTTGGCATGTGTCGGTCGCAGGTAATTCCGCACGGCCATGCATCGGTCGCGGATGACCATGGATTAATCTCGTAGTACTTAATTCCACATGGTTACATGACAATCGAGGGTCGACCATGGGTCGTTGATACTCGAACGTGGACTGGTTGCGAATCGGCCATGGATCGACGCGTTGAGTCAAGTAGGCCATGGACGAGCCATGTGCCAGGCCAAGAGCCTAGTGGCTTGGTCGCGGACTAGGCTTCGTGCTAGCCACGCCGGCCAAGCCTTGTGCCCAGTCATGGACCGACCCTTGTGCCTGTTAGCTAAGCCACAGACCGGCTACGTGCCCGACCGTGTGCCAGTTATTATGCCTGACCTATGTACCAGGCATTGTGCCCATCCGATCCGGTTCCGACCTAATACTGTGCCAACTAGACTTGGCTACAAACTGTGCATTTTACCCATCCGTGAGCTAATGCAAGTGTTTGGTCCGTGTGCCGGCCCCTCGCTCGTGTGGCCAAGCATTGCGCTCGGCGCACCGCTCGTGCGGCTCGGCACTACTCTCGTGCACTCAGCTCCGTGCCCAGCCTTGTGCTCGGCCCTGTGCCAGTGTGGCCCGACAATGTGCTAGGCCCTACGCCCGGTCAGGCCCGACCGAATAGGCCATGCGCCTGGTCAGTCCAGATGACCTAACCTTGCACCATTTGACTCGGATTTTGGCTCGGTCATGTTTGATTATACTTGGAAGTATTCCTACACCGAATCTCAATTCGAATAGGTTGGTCGATCGTTATAGTTCCGTAAATTCTCCTTTACTTAGTCATCTTTGCTAAGTATCATTATGGATTTTTGGAGGACATACACAATGGGATTTCGGAAGTTATGCTTAAATGTCATGAACCGGTTGTCCTTAGTGAATTATTAGGTGCCCTTGATGGACAAGAACAAGCCGTACTCGGCCAAACTTGGAGAGCAAGAAGCCGAATAGACCAAGTCAATATTGAACCAATAATTGAGGGCTAATCATTAGAGAGGATCTTATCTTATAAGATCTCTAATAATTGAGAAGTTCTTGAGTATTCTAGAGGAGCCATACGCCCAAAAGCTTGGAGAACAAGAAGAAATGAAGACCAAGTCAATGAATTATTGGAGGAACCATCATTAGAGACTTAGGTGTCCCCTTAATAATTAATGCATAGGGTGATTCGCATACCCTAAACTTAGGGCATGATGACCCCAATAGGACACTTGTTAGTCAATTGAATCAACAAATAATTGGGTCTAAGATTGGATAAGATCTCCCTCTATTAATAGGCGCCACTTCGATGGAAATGATTGGACCATTTGGCAAGATAATCATTGGAGCCTTTGGCTATAAATAGAAGAGTCATCACCCATTCTCTTCTTTCCCTCAAACCGGCACACACACACTCCTTCAGTCTCTCTCTCTTTCTCTCATACATTCTCTCTCTTTCTCGGTCACCCCCTCGGTTTCTCTCTTGCTCGCCTCACCATCACCGAACACCCTTGTTAGGACCACCTGTGACCCGAGTAGTAAGTGAATTCCCTATCCTTTGGTTAGGATGTGATGTTGCGCATTTGGGCTCGAGTCATGACCTTATTTGTGATGCTTAAAGCTTGCACGTGTGCTTTTTGTTTTGCATTATGGCTGCGAGTCAAGGAACAACCGAGGCGTGAAACGGGGTGTCGTATGGTCTCGTACTCATGTTGTGGCGTCACGGATCAAGCTCGGCTTGGTGCGGGTTTACATTGAGGTGTGTAGATTCGGGTCAAGTTTGGCTCCGAACTGCCGCTCGGCATGGTGGACCGAGCCACATACCCTAGACCGCGCCCCATATGAT